GGCGCCTTAGCCGGTTGAGCTATAGGCGCCGAGCCAACAGTCTTTTTTCATTTCTATTCATCTTAGCATTTATTTTCTTGGGTTTTCTAGGTGTACTAGATGTTATCTGCAAAAAAGTATAATTTATCTCTTCCTTAAAGCATGAACATTTTTAAAGATTTGTATTACATTTCGCCAAATCTTGTCTTTGAAAAAAATATGGTATCAATTTGTACTCCTCCTGTGGCAGTGTTTTAGAATACCCTTGCCAGCACTGAGCATTAACATGTAAAAAGATTTTCACCAGTTTTCTACAACCCTCATTCATCAAGAGGACATCCACTGTGTCCCTTCTCTGTGCCAGGCACTGAGGACACAGCAGGAGCCCACAGAGCTCAGCCTCAGGGAGTCCAAGTTCTAGGAGAAGATGAGGCTTGTTTCTTGAGGTTTAAATGAAGACTGCTGCCACCTCTGAGCCCAGCTGATGGGGAGAGGCCAGGCTCCCTAGTGGAGAACTGGCCCTGGCTCAGGGACTTGTTCTGGAAAATCCTGAGAGGTTATGTAAAATCCATCACCCTCACTGCCATCACAACAAGCACTTCAGGCGTCTTGGAAGATCCCCTGCACTATCTGGGCAGTGCCAGGAGCAGGAGCCCCACGAGAGTGGCTGCATCTGTGCAGGAGCCAGGGGCCAGCCAGACACCCTTCTGGGCCAGCCCGGGCCGGCCCCTGTTCTCCCAAAGGCAGATTCAGGACTGAATGCTGAGGATGCCCCTGCCCTGTGGCTGCCATCTGATAAAACAGATGATAAGATTGATGCAAGGCTTCCTGGAGGCTCCTACTTTCCCTTAAAGCCCCAGCCCAGCCCCAGCCCAGGGGCCTCTTGTGAATGGCCCCTCTGCCTGTTTGCAGAGAGCACTCATTGATGGCAACTCTGAAGCTGGGTAGGATGTCCCATACAGCTCTGCCCACAAGGCACACCTACCTCATTCTCCTCCTTTTGGGCCCATTGCCCTCTGACCTCAGCCCCTTTCCATGTGTTATGCCCCAAGCACTGTAGGAGACTTGCTGTGTGATCCCAGACAAACTGCCTTACCTCTCTGGGCTTTCCCCATCTGTACCTCACAGGCAAATGTGAGGAGTATTTACAGCGGGTCTGTACAGTGTGTAGCAGCAGGACTGCAGGCATGTATGTTCATTGAGAGAGTGAAAGAATAGACAGATTGTGCTGGCAAACCTTGTAGTGGCTTGGTTTTCACTTAGACCATCAGAATGCAAAGATCAGATCCCAGGACTTCTAAATGCACGCTTTGTTAGAAATGCAGCCACTCCACCCTGTATTGCTGAATCCCACCCTAGGGGTAATCCCAGCCATGCCCAGGATGAGGTGGGTGGAGAGCTGGACCCAGAGCAAAGGGCATTTGGGTCCTAGAACCCAGACCAGCCGTCCATACCCTGGCCTTGCTTGCACTGGCTTCTGATCTCACTTTGCAATCCTACTGAGGTCCTTGCCAGGCTTGTGCAGAGGTGTATGGGGTGGCAAGAGGGACGCCTACCACCACCACTCAGCCCAGGCAGCTAGGTCCCCGGGAGAGGAAATTTCCTTCTCTGTGTGTTTATTTTCCACATCCTTGACTTTGAAAGCCAAGCTGGTGTTGGTATTTACCTTGGCCAGGCCTCCCATCTCCCCAGGCCAGCCTCGTGTAAACACACTGTTCCTTTTCTCAGCTTTGCTAGCATTGCGGTGGCCTTTTGCAACCAGTTCTAGGAATTTTTAAGTCTGAAGGATTCAGTTCAGGGAGCAGCCCTCCAGGGAGTCCAGGGTGCAAGACCCCCCTCTCCGGGGCCTCAGTCCCATGGCCACAGGGATGAGCAGGGCCTATGCAGAGTGGGGTGGGGTCCTCTCCCAAGTGATGCCTCCTTCTTCCTCATGGCCATGCTGCAGGTAGCCTTGCTCCCCCACAGCCACACTGGCAGTTATAGTCAAGAGGGCATAGGCTTCAGGGAGGGATCTGGCTGTCTCCAATGTCCTGCACCAGGCCACCTCTGGGACTGGTGGGAGAGGGCTCGCTCTAGAGTGGCAGCTCTGCAGCTCGTTAGTCTGGAGTGTTGGCAACTGGACGGCAGTCCAGAGTGGATGGTGAAGTGGTGCACTGGGGTAGAGCCTCAGGAGGGCGTCCTACCCTCACGGAGCTGGCCTTCTAGAGGGCAGGTGTGCAGCAAGGAGGATACCACCCGAGATGCAGAGATCTGGGGTGAGAGCGTGTGCCCCACAAGGTGGGCGTGAGGCAGCAGCACTCCCGAGGCAGCCCCCCTCATCTGTTGGCTCACCTGACTGGTGACCCTTGTGCAGGTGATGTGACTTCTCTGAGATTTGGTCCTTGGATGAGGACTGGAGGGCAGCCCATCAGCCACAAGGGAGCCATGGATGAAGCCGTGTGGGCATCACCACCTCACTCTGCGCACAAGAGCTGCCGTCCCACCACCGCTGCGTTCTAAAACTGTATCAGTGGACACAAGTGCCAGTACGACAACTCCGCTGAATCTCTGCCCCTTTTCCATGCAGATCTGGGACATGAGCGATGACGAGACCGTCTGAGACAGCCCCTCCCTGACCACCTGCTGAAGAGTGCTTGGTCCGGAGCAGGACTGGTGACGCTGGGCTGGTGCCCTCCAACCTGTCTGGTCCCTGCTCTCCAGACCTGAAGGACTGGAGCCCCTTCTGTTGCCCAGGAGCTCCCAGTGTTCTGCGTTTCTCATGATTCATGATCTTGCCAGTTCTGAACTAAATAATAACCTTGGCTCTAGCATTGCCATTCATCTGGGACTTGGTTCCCCCCATGTGCAGTTCTGTTTTTCTTATTGCCACAAATGTTTGATACAAGCTCCCAGGATGCTTTCTCCTTGACCCCCAGGGATTGGCAGTGAGGGAGCACTTGGCCCAACCACAGACCAACACAGTGAGGGAAAAGATGGGACACCAGCTTCTGCCAGGAGCCCTTGTGGGGAGGCAGGGCCCAGCCCCTGGGCTCCACTGCAGACTCCTCCCATCACCTCACACTTGTCCCAGTGACCCCAGCACGCCACCAAGGACAGGCTAAGGTGCCTGCCTCTCAGCCTGTCCTCTGCTGTGGACATAACTGGGCCTGCTCAAAGGAGGGATGGAGTCTCAGGCCAGACCCAGGCAGCTGCCTGGGTGGGAGGCTCCTCCCTGCCCCTGTGGGCTCACAGGGCCCAGAGTAGGCTTAGCTGCCTGCCTGTTCCACCTCACTGGTGACTTGGACGCCCTAACACTAGTGTGGGGTGGCTGTCCCTGTGTGCCTGTCTCCATTTGAGGGGTCAGAGGGCTCAAACACAAGTTACGTGGGCAAGGGCTGGTTTGCCTCTCTCCTGGATTTGTGGGTAAGGCCCACAGGGCTGGGTATGGAAACCCAAGGGCACGTCCTTATTGTCTATGACCGAGAGTGACATGTCATTGTCCCTACAGTGGCAGAGGGGTTAGCGGCACCCTTTCCATACTTTTTATTCTTATGGCTTTTAAATTTTGTCTCAAGACTAGCACTAAAGTCAAAATTGAATCTGGGGCTGACTCGTACAACGGTAGGACTTCTGTCGGGTATATGTGTTTATTGTTTTGAGACCGAGTCTCACTCTGACACCCTCTTGCTTTAGCCTCCCGAGTACCTAGGACTACAGCCACCTACCATAGTACTCAGCAAGTTTTTCTCTTTTTAGTAAAGATGGGGGTCTCACTCTTGCCCAGGCTGGTCTGGAACTCCTGAGCTCAAGCAATCTACCCACCTTGGCCTCCCAGAGTGCTAGGATTACAGGCTAGAGCCACTGAGCCCAGCCTGTAGGAAATTTAAAAAGATGCTTTTTTTTTTTTTTTGCAGTTTTTGGCCAGGGCCGGGTTTGAACCCACCACCTCTGGCATATGGGGCCAGCGCCCTACTCCTTTGAGCCACAGGTGCTGCCCCAAGATGCTTCTAACGTAGAAAGCAAATATTACTGTTTTCCAGTATACATCAAGGCCACCGAATCTGCCCCCGGGGCCGCGTACCCAAGCCCTGGGGGCCTCTGCCCACCCAGCCTGGTGTGCTCCCTCCAGGACTGAAGAGCCACACGCAGTCTGTGGTTTAAGAGCACTTTATTATTGTTCTTAAGGCTACTTTTAAGTACAAAAAAAAGATGGCCTGCCAAACCTTTTTTTTCTTCTTCCAGGAAAAACAGGCCACAGAGAATGGTATATTACAGATTTACAAACATGGAGAGGAGGGTCAGACGCACTGCAGATGGCTCGGCTCTGGGAGGAACTTCACGGAGCCCCTTCTAATGCAGGGAGGATACTCTTTCTCAGTGACAGGTTTGGTTTTCTGCTGCCTCCTCTGCCTCAGGCCCCTCCAGGGTACTACCTATTCCAGATAGGTTAGTGCACTAAGGACCCTGCTGTCAGCACCACCAACCCCTCCCAAAGCAGTGACCTCGCTCACTGACAAAGAGAACTGTCCCAGGAGCGCTCTCCACCAAGCCGGTCAGCAGCGGGCGGTTTTCCTGTTACGACGCTCAGTAGCCTGTAGCAATAACAAACTAGTGGCTATTAATGCAGATGCAGTGTTCTCATAGAATAACTGTGTTCCTGCACTTTTACAGACAAATCTACGACAAAAAAAAAGATCAACTTTTTTTTTCCAAACAACAAAAAAAAATATGAATGATTACAATAGGAAAGGGAAAAATTAAATAGCTACATATCATTAACAAATTAATTGTTCTTCAAAAAATACCTACAAATTTCTCTGTACATTCTTTACGCACAGCGTAATGATGGTCTTAAAGTTACCTATATAAAAAAAGTGTTCTCAATGATTTTTTCCTACAGAAAATATAGGGGCCTGAATGCCAAAGCTTGGAAGCCCAGGAAAGTGGGAGTGAAATGTGTGCAGGGTGAGAGGAAAGGGCTTTTCTTCTGCTTTTGGAAAGGCCTGCAGCCACCTTGTGCCAGTCCACCAACCTTTCTACTTGGTGCCAATTTCCAAAATTCAGCAGCTAAGCTGGATTTTTCTCATACTGAAAACCAGCCTCAAGGGCTCTGGTGGTTTGTAAACCAGCCCATCCAACCTCCCACGTGAGGTGGCCACGTCCACATCACCTGGTCAGGTGCCTCATGGGAAGCCCTCTGGTGGGCCGGGCTGTGTGCAGACACCGGAAGGGCAGGGAATAGAAACGCTCATGACCGATGAGCAGCCACTGGGGACTGCCACAGCCATCTGTCACGCTCGCTGCTTCACCTAATTTCTAGTTAGTAGCTAGTAATATAGCAAACAATAATAAATGCAGTAATAACTGTATAAAGTCATAGGAATGTATACTGCCTTGGCCCCAGTGTACGAGGAAGCATACAAAATACCACATCACAGATTGTCAGGAATCTGATGTTCAGCTAAGAGTTCAAAGGCAGCAGTTTCTGCATTGAGGGAAGCTGGAAGACACAAACCCCACCTCCCCCGGGTTCCTGTAACAAAGCAGACAGGGATGCAAAAAACACATGTCGTCAGCCTGCAGCCCAAACTCCAGCATCCTCCACTGAGGCCGGCTGCCTGCTCAACTGCCACTGCCAGAGCCTGCCAGGAGCTGGCCGTCCCCGGCACTACTTGTGAGTAAAGTGAATATCAAATACAAATCTTAGAGTACAACTGTACCAGCAGTAAGTATATCTAGGACTGTAACTGACAAAAATAAACTAATTCTGAAAAGAAGATAGTAAGTATTAAGGTTTTTGTTTACTGTCTATACAGTTAATAGAAACCAGCTATTTTTTTTCTCCATTAAAACATGCATCATGTTTAAAGCACTATGGAATCCTCCAGCCTCAGCTCTAGGCTAACAAACTGCAGTGTTCAGAGAAGGTAAAATGCCCGTGATTGGTAGAGTCTGCAGTCCAGTTGCAAGCACCTGAAATCTAGAGAGAGAAAGACCTATAACCTGTATGAGACTTCCCCTTCCAAAGCCGTTTTGTCTAAATTTAAAACAACAACAACAACAAAACACAAATGGTCAGAAATGTCATCCTTAAACCCTTTGTTTTCAGCAGTTTGCCCTCAGAGTCCTAGCATCACACACAAGTTGTCAGGCAGGCAACTCTAGTCTCCCCAGTAGTGCAAATCAGACACGACAGTTCTCTTCAAGTATCACACACACGGACCAAACCGCACACGCCACGGAAGCTGAGCCACACACACCCGGTCTCAGAAGCACAGGGGGAAAAGCACAAAGCGTCTGGGTCACCCATGTCATGGCTTGTGGCTGAGAAAGCGTGCTGTGGGGTCCCAGCCCCGCCGGGCGGTCTACCTGCATCAGAGGTTTCTTTGGTAACTGAGGCAGGAAGGAAGGATGCTACATTAGACAGATGTTCCACACGTAGTTCCTGCGGTCGTGTTTGAGGGCCCCCTTGTATGAATACCAAGCAAGTACAAAAACAACAGAACAAAAAACCCCGCCATGGGTTTTGCGAATAAACCATCCCGTCCCTCCCCCACCCCCACCCCCACGATTTTTTTGTGTTTTTAAGCAGACTGTTCAAAGCTCAGGCAGACCATGCAGACCCTGTGCCGCCGGAAGGGCCCGTTCAGGACACCACGGAGGGGGAATGGCTGTGGCTGACCATGTGGGCTGAGGGGCTGGCGGGCTGGCCCCTGCGTGAGGCCGACTCGGGGCTGCTGGATGCTCCGTCCTTGGCTGCTTTGATCTGAAGCCACGTGTCACCCAGAGCTTTGGCAAAGTGGTCGTCCACAGAGCCTGTGATGGACACGGAGTTGGGTGCTGGCTCAGGTTCCTTGTAGTTCTTGCCCAGGCTCCGGCGGAAATGCTCCTCCACCACGGGGTCACAAGTGGTAGTGGCTGCAGGTAAGGAGTGTGGTCAGAGCACAGGTGGCTGCAGATGCGCAGACGGGCAGCACCTCTCTCCGGCCACGGCACGGTGGGTTCTGGGGAAAGGGGCCCACCTCCCCCAGCTTAGTTGGGCAACTTGTGCTGTTCCCTCCTGAGTATATAAAATGATATACCTACTGCGCCAGGCAATTAGCTGCATTCAGATAGCAAATGTAGCATTACATTTAAATAGCCACTGTCTCCCCATGACCAGACCATGAGGTCCTACAGCCAGGGCAGCCTGTGTCTAAACCCCTTCCCACCCACAGCACACGCCACACTGGGTGTGCGCTGTCTGCTTCACAAAATACCCTTGAAGCCCAATAGTAAGCAAGCTCTGGGGGCGAAGGGGGCAGCCTACACGTGATAAAAGACACTCACCGCTCGGTGGCCTCCGGTAGCTGGCAGGCCCAGGTGCTGCACAGCCGCTGTGCGCAACAGGGCAGTGTGAGAGGTTGCAGTTGCGGGCACCGGCCGAAGCGCAGGTGATCACAGAGGGCCGGTTCTGCAGGGGGAGGGGGATGTCAGTGCGGGGAGACCTAGCCCAGCCCCCACACCACCCTGTAGACCCTCCTAAGCACCTTTAGGGCCCTGTCCTGGGGCCCTTCCTGAGTAAAAGAAATTAGTCAAGCTCTCTGCTCCCTTCTACATCACCACTGGAGTCCGCTGCAAAATACTTCCCATCCACTGAGAGTGAGACCCTGAGGGCTATGCTCAGTCTGCTCCCCTGGATCATAACTGGACAGGGACAGCGTGCAGTGTTGGTCTGTCCTTCCTCTCAAATCTGAACTCAGACAAACACTGGGAGTTCAGAAACTTCAAGTAGATGGCAGGACTGCAGAAGGGACCACAGCTCCTACTGTTAAGGTCACCCCTGCTATGGCAGCCCAGAACCTTTCCAGTGTACTCGAATTTTTTTGCTTAGGACAGCTCCGGTTGGCTTCTATTATGACCACATAAACCACAATGCAGACAGAAATGGGGGAAACGGACCTCAGCGTACAAACTGCGTACACGCCTCCCCTGGCCCCATCTGCCCGGCCTGCACCTCCCCTGGCCCCATCTGCCCTGCCTGCACAGACGACTGTGCTCTCTTTCCCTGCACCCCTACACCACCTGCCTGGTGGACGGACGCCCTCTGTGAAGCCATCATGACTGCCACCACCTCTCCCCTTTGCACCTACACCCGACACCCCACCAAGACTCAGTAAGTCGGATCGGTCCTTCCCAGTGGAGAGAACCCCGCCGAAGGCATTAACCCCTCTGAGCTGCTGTTTCTTTGCTGTGTGGAACAGGAAGCATTGTGCAGGAGGCCCCGGGTGTAGGTGGGAGTCCTCCCTATCAGATGCAGTCTCCCCACACCTGGAGGGCGGCCTGCAGCTCAGAGCTCCACCTGCTGAAGGGGCCATCTTGAGCCCACTCCCCTCTCTGAGGGATGTGCCCCTCACTCTGCAGGGGGGCTGAGGCAGCCATATTCATGAAGCATGACTGTGCCCCGATGGCCAGACAGCTGCTCAGCCACACTCAGGTTCAAGTTGAGCCTGGTGGTCAGGAGCTGTGGGACAGCCACAACGGATTGGTCACGTGGGGAGAGAGAAGAGGATGCAGAGACCTGGACACAAGCACAGCCCAGGTGGTGAGTGCTTATGAGATCCTGGGGCTCCACACCCCTGCACACCCTCGTTTCCCGGATGGGGAAAATGGAGGCTAGAGACACGTTACCTGCTGGAGGTTACACAGCAAAT